GCCATTAACAGTATCAAGAAGAGCAGTATCCCTGTCAATTATCGCCGCCGCGTCGTTCGTCGTCTCCTCCGGTTGCTTCATTTCTCCGGCACTCGCAGAATTCTCTGAAATCCCTAATTCCGGTGGAGTTAAGAGTCTCGATCTCCGAATCGGCGACGGTGAAGTACCCATCGAAGGAGACCAGGTCAGTGTTTTGTAATTAGAAGATGTTACCAAACAAAACCCATAAACTCAATTTTGCAAAAATCTGATTTTTTTTTTTTAATTTTAGATTGCAATACATTACTATGGAAGATTAGCTGCAAAACAAGGATGGAGATTTGATTCAACATATGATCATAAAGACAGTAATGGAGAATCTGTTCCTTTCTCATTCATCCTTGGTTCTTCCAATGTAAATCTCTATTTGCTTTTATAATTCAATCATTTGTTTCCATAAAGTTTCAGTTTTTATAACAAAAGGTGTATGGTTGCTAATTGATTCTTGATGCGACGAGTTGAGCTTGTTCTTTGAAGAGAAACAGAGTCTAATTTTGTGTTTGTTCTTGCAAAACCAAGGGCCTAAGTGGTGCTTCTTCGATTTTTTTGTTCTCTGTCTCTATGATGATATTGTGATCTCTGTTTCATCATTGATTGATTGAAAGCTGCTGGTTTTGTAAGTCTAATGAATGAAAAATTGTGATGTGAAGGTCATTTCAGGGATAGAAACAGCGGTGAGGTCGATGAAAGTAGGCGGGATTCGTAGGGTGATTATACCTCCATCACAAGGCTACCAGAATACATCACAAGAACCTCTCCCCCCAAATGTATGTGCATGCACCTCTCTCTCTTTTATCAATCTTCTCAAGTAATAATTCAAATCTAAAAGTCAGATGTTATTGCTAAGAAGAGTCCCAAATTGATTAGATTGGGGCCTAGCTAGAGCCTTAGTGCACCACACTTTGTTGCTAGTAATTTGCACTTGAAGATACAGACTCACACATGGAGATGATAAGATTCCATCGAATATGCTTTGCCACATCAGTATGTGTATTAGTAATTGGGATCAAAATAAATTGAGATTGTATCAAGTGACTAAGAGATTGGTTTGGACATGGGAAAGTTTGGCATGCTATAGTATTATCCCTTCGGTTCTACTCTTTGATTCTGCTTTCCACTTCGATTCAGAGTGAAATCAATCGGTTTACAATTTGAAACCTTATCAAGAAAGACCCTTGTGATATTCGCCACGTATTATATTGTTTGGACATACATTGATTAACTATGGGGCTTGGTTAGTATTCTTGTAGGGCCCAATAGTTTCCTCAGTCTCATGCTAGCTTTAAGGCGAGTTTTGTGCAAAAGATCTTTTACACAAATGTAAATCTCTAGAAGTACTAGTTTAAGATCTTAACTTTCTTTAAGATTGCCACGCGCCATGTTAATTGCAGTTGAAAAGATGGAAAGTTTCATAGAATCAAATCATAAATACGATGCTTGAGGTTCCAAAACTGTATATCTTGTTAAGAGCTCACAAGATTGTTTGCAAAATTTCATTTTTGTTGTGTGTGTTTTTGCAGTTCTTTGACAGACAAAGACTCTTCACGACCATCTTTAACCCAACACGTCTCGCGAATGGAGAAGGTTCTACACTTGGAACTCTCGTTTTCGACATCGAACTCGTCAGTACCAGACGCCTTAACCGATGAGTCATAATGCCATTCATAGCATTCATTGGTTTCTTGTTGAACAAGAAATCACATTCATAGTATTCATTCGTTTCATTCAAACAAGAAACTATATAATATACGATATGATTGAATGTAAACAAAATCTTTCGTAAGTATATTTGAATATTCTATAGAAAACGTGAGTTGAAAATTCAACTTTTTGATATAAATGAAGTTGATTATGTGTCCCTTGGTCCTAGCTTTCGCATTCATATAGTACTGTGTGTGTAGTGTGGAAAAAAAACGCAAATTTTGTATGTAAGACTTTTCGTAAGATTTTTATTCAAAGATTTTTCAAAGTTGAATACGTAAGAAATTAGATATTTCTGACATCATTTCTTTATAAATAGACAATAAAACCTTTCTCTATTTTTCATAGCAACTCGAAAATGTCTTTCATAAAACCAATCTTGCTCAGTGTCTCCTTAACTTTCTTCTTCTTCTCACTCTTCCTCGGTTCCTCCTCGGCGCAAACCGTCGTGAAAGCGTCGTACTGGTTTCCGGCGAGTGAGTTTCCGGTCACTGACATTGACTCATCTCTCTTCACACACCTCTTTTGTGCTTTCGCTGATCTCAACTCACAAACCAATCAAGTCGTTGTCGCTTCAGCAAACCAAGCAAAATTCTCAACCTTTACACAAACCGTACAACAAAGAAACCCTAACGTTAAAACGCTTTTATCTATCGGCGGTGGAATCGCCGATAAAACGGCTTATGCTTCCATGGCAAGTAACCCAACTTCTCGAAGATCTTTCATTGATTCTTCGATTAGACTTGCTAGATCTTATGGATTCCATGGTCTTGATCTAGACTGGGAGTATCCGAGCACTCCGACCGAAATGAGCAATTTCGGAACGCTAATTCAAGAATGGCGATCGGCGGTTGTGGCGGAAGCAAGCAGTAGCGGTAGACAGCGTTTGCTTTTGGCGGCTGCGGTTTTCTACTCTAACAATTACTATTCGGTATTGTATCCGGTTCAAGCCGTTGCTAATAGCTTGGATTGGGTTAATCTTATGGCTTATGATTTTTACGGACCGGGTTGGTCTAGAGTAACCGGTCCACCCGCCGCTCTGTATGATCCTTCAAACGCAGGTATACTTATTATAACCAAACTTAACCAAATAAAAACGATACAGAACCACAACTTTTGCACTAGAAATTTGGTTTTGATAAAAACGTATTACCAATTCGGTTTAATTTCGGTATGAAAATAGTGGTTCGGTTATATCAGCTCTATTTCTTTGGGGTTATTAAAACCGGTTTTTTATAATAGGTCCAAGTGGCGACGCCGGAGTAAGATCATGGATTCAAGCTGGACTTCCGGCGAAGAAAGCAGTCTTGGGATTTCCATATTACGGTTACGCGTGGCGGCTCTCAAACGCAAACAGCCACAGCTATTACGCACCCACTACCGGAGCTGCGATATCACCGGACGGTTCGATCGGATACGGTCCAATAAGGAAGTTCATAGCAGATAACAGAGCAACGACGGTTTATAATGCCACGGTGGTCGGAGATTATACTTACTCCGGTACGACTTGGATTGGATACGACGATAATCAGAGTATCGTAACGAAAGTTAGATATGCTAAGCAGAGAGGTTTGCTTGGTTACTTCTCGTGGCATGTTGGAGCTGATGATAATTCTGGTCTATCTCGTGCAGGTGCATTTTCTAACATTTTTTTTTTTATAATAACCGATAAATTCTGAGCCCAAATCTAGACTAATTCCTCTAAAGAACCGGTCTATATAGATTTTTCACAATTTCTATGTAGAGATAATTATTCAAACAGCTTCGAAAAGTTTCTTAGTTACTCAAACAAAATCTTTGAGAAGAGAGAAATGTTCAAAAACCTGTTTGTATAGAATTTTTACAATTTTATGGATTCGTATATTTTTATTATTTTTTTGTCAACCAAACTTTAATTAAAATATTCGTATACTTTTAATGACTCGAAAATATAATATTTACTGATTTTTGGGATTTGGCTTTTACAGCGTCACAGGCATGGAATGCTGCGCCTGCAACCGCCAGTATCATACGGTCTTAAGGTTTCCGGTGTTCCAATAATGGCTAGCGAAGAAGTTTCTTTTTGTAACTATACAAAGATAAACGTTATTTGATTATATATTGTCAAATAAAAAGGGAATAATAAGATATATTAAGATGATAATAAAAGCAAGAAGCTATTCATCATAATGCTTGTTTTATTATAAAGCAAATCGTTTTAATTTGTAA